CTCCAAGATCAGCACAGACAGGGACTGCAGCCAAAAAATTAAAAGGCGCTTGCTCCCTGGGAGGAAAGCTATGGCAAATCGAGACAGCATACTAAAAAGCAGAGACATCACCCTGCTGACAAAAGTGCATAGTCAAGGCTATGGTTTTCCCAGTTGCAATGTATGGCTGTGAAAGCTGGACCATAGGGAAGGCTGAGCACTGAAGAATTGAGGCCTTTGAATAGTGGTGCTGGCGGAGACTCCTGTGAGTCCCTTGGACTGCAAGGCAATCAAACTGGTCAGTCCTAGAGGAGATCAACCCTGACTGCTCTTTAGAAGGCCAGATACTTTAGATGAAACTCAAATACTTTGGCTACCTAATGAGAAGGAAGGACTCCCTGGAGAAGAGCCTAATGCTGGGAACAATTGATGGCAAAAGAAGAAGGGGAAGGCAGAGAATGAGGTGGCTGGATGGAGTCACTGAAGCAGTCAGTGTGAGCTTAGGTGGACTCCAGGGGATGGTGGAGGACAGGAAGGCCTGGAGGAATGTTGTCCATGGGGTTGCAATGGGTCGGACACGACTTTGCAATTAGCAACAACAACAACAATTTGGGAGTGTTGAGTCCGAATTTTTGTATTCCAGATACTGGCCAGGTTATCAACAGTACTGTCAAACATACCAGTAGAACTCTGATACATGCTGAAATACGTTTGGATTTACTCCTCTGTTTAATTCCAACTGAACTGTGAGTTGAGCATTATTTCAACACCGGTGATGGGACAGCATTCCCTCGGAGAGCAGGGTAGCTTTGGAAGGCTGTCTAGAAGATGCAATTCTGATCTCCAACAACTTGCTGTTGTTGTCACCCCCGCACCCGCTGTCTGTGGCACCCACCCACCTCTGTTTAAAGTTAGGACTAGCCATGCTTTTCCTTTTCTGCCAAGATGTACAACATAGCTGCTGCATGGGGCCCACTGCAGGAGGAATTCATGTCATATTTCAGCAGGCAAGGCTGGAGCAGCTTTATGGGAGGAGCACCTATGGGCCTGTTTAGTGTTACCATGTGATGAAGAAAAGCGTTCAAATGGTTGCATTTAATGGAAAGGAAGTAAGTAGGAGGACGTCTGTGCAGGCAAAGGAATTGTGATAATTGGCTAATAAGTTTGCACTTCAATAGCTGAAGGTGAACAGTGCAGTCATTTTCTGAGTTCCCAGATCAGCTTTTCAAACAGATGGGACATATCTTGAAGTGTGGGAAGATGTTAATGGCTTTGGTACTTGCAAATATAATCATCTTAAGGATCATACTTATATGCTACATTATAACTTTGTTTTTAGTTTTAGTCAGCAACCCTAATGCAATTTACAGAATCCGTATTCCTCTAGTTAGCTGTTCCAGAGCTACTTCGCATAATTGCATAAATGGGGAGGCAGCCATAATAATGAGAAATGTTTTGTATCTGATTCCACAGAGGAAGTACTTGCCAGAAGAACTGTTTTTAAACATTAAATAGGAATAAGTTGTGGTTATGAAATAAGTTTGTTCCACAGCAATTATTTTTATTCATCAGCATTATCACAGGATGTTTCTGATGTCATTGAGAGTCCTCTGGTGACCTTGGCTTGCTTTCTGCTGTCAGTGTTAGGTCAGCTGGACCAGGATCAAAAACTATTTTGAAACAACAATAAGCAAAAGATTCTTCCAAGGCGTATCTCCCTACTAAAAATTTGCTCCATAACATTTTGGGCTCTCCAGCTAATCAGTACTTTACTATTATACATGTATGAGTAGCTACTCAATTTAGAAATAGTTTTAGAAATATGAATACCTGAGAAAGGCCCAAATATATCAAGCAGAAATAAAAAGCATAGGACTTCTTCAAAGAATAAAATCATACTCAACATTCCAGAGGTTGCTTACTTTATGTATTTACTGTATTTGTAAGTGGGCTGCTCACAAAAAAACAGAAACAGCAACATAGCAAAACAGGAGGATGATATAAACAGCAACAAAAACAACAATAAAACCATCAGCAAAGAGCAAATAAAACCATGATTCTAAAAGCCAGTAGTAAATAAGAAAGTATTTACTTGGCAGCAAAAACAGGATAACCATGGTACCACTTGCAAATCTTTAAGGAAGAGAGTTTCAAAGGTGTGATAATGGAGAAGACTCTTTTTCTTGCCAAATCTCCTCTTACTTCATTTGGCGGAGTTCACGAAGGAGGGTCTCTGTTGAAGATCTAAGTGGTCTGGTAGGGATACATGGAGACAGGCGTTCCTTTAGATATCCTCATCCCAAGCCGTTTAGGGTTTTGTATGTTAATGTAATCACTTTGAATTGTGCCCAGGCAATAACAGGAGGTCAGTGAAGTTGGCGGAGGAAGGGCCCTTGTTAATAACAGCGCTGCTCTGTTTTGGATTAATTGAAGGACCCAGATCATCTTCAAAGGCAGTTCCACATCGAGCATAGGATCATCCCCTTAGGTTAATTTGGCTGCTTTGTTTATCCCTGCCACATTTCACAGCAATTTTTTTCTAACCATTGCCATCACTTCTCTTTCCTCATTTGCTACCAGTGAAGCAAAACTAAGATTCTTTGTTTGTAGTAGTGGTTGTTTTGTTTGAAACTAGATTGCGTAAAAGAGCTATTATCATAAGATTTTAAAAAAGCTTAAGATACTTTGAAACCACAACCTAAAGCTCAGTTAACACTCACTGTAGAATATTCTTTATTTTCAACATTTCTTCTACATACACAAATCATAAAAAATAACAGACAAAAATATACAACCTTAGTAAAGCTAATCCCCTAACAAAAATCCATACCATTAGTATCCCAGTAGTTACCTTGTATCCAAACAGAAACAGATCCTTTGATGTAAAACGTAATATGTAAAACGTAATATGTAAAACGTTAGACATAACTAGCATCTGGATGAAGTTAGAGAATTCGAGCTCTGTCAGCATTTTTAATTAACACTAGTTCTTGAAAATGAAAACTCCATTCTTACCACTGCACTGTAAACTTTAAAATTATACAATCATTAAAATGCTTTGTAGGGTAACACTTTTTTCTGGCAGCAATTTAAAATGATTTTAAAGTTTGCTTTACTATAAAAGATTTCTAAAACTGTTTCTTTCTCATCATACTAGACAGAGGATTGCAGTGACTGAATATAGCCTTTCATTCTCAATAGCAGGCATAGGAAATCTCTTATCTACAGGCCAAACTGGCTCACAGAAGTCTCCCATCCAATCTGACATTTTCTTTCCCAGTCTTTGCATTAACTACCCCAATCTTTGATCAACAGCTGATCAGAGTTAAGATACTTCCCATGCTGTGCCCTCTTGCATTTAGATTATTTTAAAGCCTCAGTTGGTGACACTGGCAACTTTAAAAGTCTAATTCTTGGACGATGGGGGATACTTTTTGTAAGGGGAAAAGGGCAGCTATAGCTATGATAGGAACATTAGCCACAGTGATGGGGTCTGTGGAGATACACCCCTTGGGTTCTCCCTTGAGCTGAAAGATTCTTTTGCCAGTTATCCTGGATCAGTGACTTGTAATAAAAGGGTAGTTAAAGGCAATTAAAGCTCAATAACCCAGCAAATAATTGAGCTGTAGTTTTGTAGGCATGCAAGTTATTAGCAAGAATCAAGGTGTACATTTTACAGGTGGAAGAGCTGATCCTCTGGGATTTACTCCAGAACAGACTAGCATAGAAATAGGTATGTTTTGTATGTTTGGTGGTGTTGGGAAAATTCAGATAAATCCTGGCAGAAAAGGGTGATTTAATCTTCCCCGTGAATCCTGGTAATTTTTAAAATTATTTATTATTTTTACTTTATTTTATTTCTTTTTTATATGTTGTTCCAATAATAAAAGTTTCTGGATGGCTTACAAAAAAAATCATTCTCACCATTAATGAAGAGGCTCTGACAGTCGGAAAATGCCCTAATTAGTAAGAATTACATCTAACCCTGTTCATTTTGCTTCCCATGTACTGTAGATTGGGCAGAGATCTATTGGCACATCTAAATCAACCTTATGTCTACCCTGTCTTATATCAATAGTTTTATCTAGAATTCCTTCTAAATACGTTCTCAAGATGGTATGCTGCAATTGTGTCTTTCTGAATTCCTCATATCCAGACTCAACAGCCTCCAGGCACTGCTGTGGTTATTTATGGAAAAGCAAATGTAAACTTTCATTTTGATGAAGCGGAGTGTCATACAATATTTTATATATGATGACTACTACTAGTTTAGGTGCCAACTTTGCCCTGCAATCATATTTCCAAGGCAGTGTATGGAAGTATACTTATTACTAAGTATGTTAATATTATGTTATTCTTGAAGGAAAAGGAATAAAGTACTGATTTGGGTTTGAGTATTAGCTTTCATTAGTTACTGTCTTCTGTAACAAATCTTATGTAGGGTCTTCCCCTTGTGGCAAGATAAGAAATTGCACATCAAGAATTAAGCATCGTCTGCCTTGGCTGAGTGGTAAAGTCCAAAACACATAAAAGCAATATTTTTTTTACAACTTGCTAGCTCAGATTATTTTTAAAATGCACACTCAATGTTTATTCAGAAAAAGTCCATTTGTGAGACCTATCTAAATGTAATGTTTTAATGATAAGAAAGCTAAATATTGTAAATATTTTTGCTGGCAAATTCTTACTCCTATAAGTGTCATTCAGGCAAAATCTATTTTGATTAGAGGAAAGAAAAACCTACAATATAATTACTTTGCACTATTTTATTACATAATTGAATTATTGAGAGCCACAATTGTAATTATTACAATTGTGGTATAATTATTAACAATTCTAGACTGGGACTCGGGAGGTCTGGGTTCTAGTCCCCACTTAGTTATGAAGTCACTGGTGGATTTGGGCCAGTTATTGTGTCTCTGCTGAGCCATAAATAGGTCCCTAACTAGAAGATATTTCATTTTAACAGAGACCTGATTTCAAGGTAAAGTTGAAATAATTCTTCCTTTCTTAATTTTTAGGATACAGGAGTTGGCAAATCAAGTATAGTTTGCCGATTTGTTCAGGATCATTTTGACCACAATATTAGCCCTACCATTGGGTAAGTTCTTTCTCTTGATATACACCCTCTGTGGAAACATTTCGTGAATTCTTTGTATTTCAAGGTTTTGGCAGAGCTCACTATTCAAAATGATAGTGTTTGTGTTCAATGTTTCTGAATGTTGCAGACTATGGAGTAAGCATATTAACTTCCTCTTTAGATCATGCCATTTCTAAACAAGTAATTATGCTATACCAGGAGCAATTAGCCATTATGCGACATTTATTCTTCCATTTCCTTCTCTATCTAGATCCATGTTTAAAGCAGGGGTAGTGAACTTGAGACCCTCCAGATGTTGCTGTACTCCCAGCTGCCATCAGCTCCAGTCAGATTGGCTGGAGTCAGGGATGATGGAAATTACAGCCCAACATCATTTGGTGAGCCACAAGCTCCCCACCCCTGTTCTAAAGAGTTTTAGATATATACAATTAGCCTTGGATTAATTTGTCTTCCTCCTCCTATCTGCTGGAATCAGAAGCCTTGACACAGCTCTCCTGGGAATGAGCAGGTCAGTTGCAAATGCCTGCAAAACCAGGAGCAGGCCTGTAGGTACCTGAAGGGTTGGAGCCTGTATAAACAATTGGTGGAGCTGGAAGCTCTATAAAAAATTTCTCCGCATTGCTCAGCTTTGCAACAGCATTACTGGGTTTTGTGCTGGCTGTACTGCGTTCCTGAGCCTGTTTCCAGACTTGCTTTATCTTTGACTGTGCCTTAACTCCTGTTAGTTCCTACCTCTGGTCTGATTCTGCCTTGCGGCAGCTGCCTGTTTCGTGTTTTCTCTGACCGTGCCTTTTGCTGGTAGCTGACTTCAGCTTGCCTCTGGACTGTGCTTCATCTTGGATTCTGCTTTGTTTTCCTGACCTGGCTTTTGCCCATATGGCTTTTACCCTTGCCTTTGGACCTACATCACTATACCGAAATCTGTATTTGAACTTTTCCTTTGGGCTGCTTGCGTTCTGCTAAGATCTCTGTGGCTTTCCATCACCCCGATCCTGGTATTCTAGCTGTAGATGCTTGCCACCCGTGCCTGGTACTGAGAGATTCTCATTTTTTATGCTTTCCCTAACTACTACTTTTAAATGAATCCTGTACTGCGTAATCATACATTTCTTAGCTCTTAATATTGTTTTATTAATTATTGTACATGGTTTATATCTGGTGGAGGAAAAACAGGGAAATGGAAGAGGATAAAATTATGCAGGCTGATGAAATATTTCAAAAATGTTAACGCCATTTCTCAAGAAATGGATTTCAAATAGCATCACTAATTCCTTTGACTTAAAAGAATCACTCTTTTCAAGCTAGATCTGCTAATTTTGCCTTCCATGAATCTATGTTAAAAGCTTTTTCCCTGCCATGTTGCCATATGTACCAGGAGTCTTACACTTTTGGCTGATGAAGCAGCATTAATATCTTACAGCTTGCTCAACTGTTAAATGTGGAGAGATGGAGGAATGTGTCATTTATGGTTTTAACTTTTGTGAACCACCCAGAGAGCTTTGTCTGTTGGGTGATACAGAAATGTAATAAATAGATTGCAGCTCCTACCAGCTTTAGTAAGGCTAGTCAATGGTGAGTGATGATGGGACTTAGAATCCAACCACACTGGAAGAGCCACACATTCCTCAACTTTAATCTTTTCACTCATTTCCTTGCCTCCCTGAGTTGCTGTGGAAATGGTTGCACGGTTGCTTGGATTTTGGAAGTAGTATTGTTATCTTAGCAATTGCCTCTCCCTTTCAGGGGCAAAAAGCCAGTTGGCAGGGCTTATTACAAATAAATTCAGTTCTGGAACATGCGAACCAAACAGTGCATCTGTGTGTATACATTGAGCACTTCTGTTTTGAGTTCACTGCAGCCATTGCCATGCCCTGGAATTAAGGATTAGGGCTCCTAGGTCATGTAGATAACCCTAACCCTAACCCTAACCCTAACCCTTTCAGACAAAATCGGCACCCAGCATCCTTTTTGTTAAGCAATTAGTGTCACTTGCAATACAGAGGAATGGTTTGAAGTCCTTGTTTCTGTGGCTTTGAGAGTGCTGGTTGGTGCAGGAAACCTGCGAGAGGAAACGAAGTACTACACAAGGGACATGGAAGTGACTGATGTATTTGTTCTCTGTAATAGGCTTACCTTTTGAGATTAAATATAGCCTAAGAGAAAGTGAATCTGAGCAGGAGTTAGAGCTATCCTATTTCAACTTGAATGCTAGCTTTGGGCTATTTAAATGCATCCGCATGAAGGACATTTGAACCAGTACTATGATATTTAAAATATACTAGCTGACAATCTTAGAATATATTTTCCACATAAAACAAACATATCATTTCATAATTCATTACATTGCCTTGGCTTTTAACAAGGCAGCTCCAGACAGTGTAAGTGGCTGGCATGTAATTCATCTTTATTAATTTTCCTGAACATCAAAAACTTACAAACTATGCAATATAATAGTCATAAACCAGACCCTGACTTGAATTTAATTCATGCATATTTATGTCTATAGACAAATCTGCCAACCTGTGCTAAAGCAAAGATTTGATGACTTAAAGAACTGTCTTTGAACTGTGCCTTCTAGAAATCTTATCACTGTCCCAAAGCCAGTGCACAGTGTGATGCCTGGGGGCGGGTGGTGTGTGTGTGTGTGTGTGGTGGGATATGTGATGCTGTTTTACCAGACAATCCTGAAGCACCCTGCCCCAGTGTCATGAAGCTGGTAAAAATAAAAATGCGTAGAGCTGGGGGTTTGGTGGGGGATGAGAGGAGGTTATGTGGAATTCTGTTCTTGCTTAAAGCACTGTTCTTTCTCCACCCCTGTGGTAGCATATTCTACACCTGGAAAATATGAGATGTTGGTTGAATTGGTAGATGATTGCATGCTGTGGGTGTAGCTATTAGTATTGCTCAGTTGTGGTTGTGGTGTTCCTCCAGTGCTAGTCAGACCATAGCAACATCACTGCTTTATGCCAGTATTATGGAGGATGGATATCCTTCCATTGCCAAAGAAGCAGAAATTTGGTTTCTTACTCATTATGTAAAAAACAAACAAACAAATTCCATAACAAGAGCAACCTGGTATTATTATTGGAGCAATAACATCTATTTCCTATTTAATGGGAAGACCATCTCTTAAGTGATTAATAAATGTGAAATTGAAAAAAAATACTACTTAGATGTAATTTACTTCAAAATAGCAACTTCTATATAGCAAATGCTTAATTCATCATTGTTACTCTATTAAGAGCAATTCTGTTAAAATGTCACTATGGAGTTTTTAATTTTAGTTAATTTTAATTAGCAAAAAATGATCAATTCTGTCATCCAATCAGCTGACATAAATCAAGATTTTCTAGAAGTGCAGTCTTGTGCTTGTTTCGACAGCAAAATATGGACAAAAATAAGAGGTGAAAATCTGTATGTGATAAAAGCTTACTTTAATTAGTTGTACCAAGGTATAAAGGTTACTTTAATGTATGCTTGCTGTTTGAGAAGCTCTTCAGAAGAAATTGTTCAGTAGCAGTTAAGACAAGTATGCAATCCTGTGCATTTTTGCACAGAAACAAGTCCTACAGTACAGAAAATTGTGGTTTTTATAGTTTTACTTAAGTAAAAGGAAAACAAATCTTTCATCATAAATCCAACCATTTCACTTAGGCTGGCACATACTTTAAACATTAACAGGATATAGTATTAGCAATGATAGTAATCAAAGCATAACTTCGACAAACCATAATGTTAAGGAGTTCTACCACAACCATATTTTAGTTTACAAGTTGTAGGGCTAGGATATCTCTATTAGTAAATTTGATCTAGGAGAAGTTGTAATGCTTATAAAAATTTTATTTCTATAGCCAGAGACAACATTCCCCAATTTCTCAGAAGAAAAAGTGAAAAAGGAAAGAGAGCTATTGTGTGTGAGTGTGTAGGCTTGGATTAGAACTTGGCCACCCAGCCTCTATTGTGAATAATTTTCAAAGGATAGTGCTCTCATTTTGTAACTGGGGAAACCAAGGTACAGCAATAACTGACTAGTCTATGATTAGTTTAGTCCATGATAGAGAATTTTTAAGTACAACTAACATGATTGATACATGTTAGTACAGGCATGCTGTTCCCTTGCCATTAAACAGCTACAGCTCCACTCCAAGTTCCTACTCCAAACACATAGAACTAAAAAGTAGAGCTTACAGGCTAATGCTGTATCTCACGCCAAGATACCTATCCCACTAGTTGGTCCTAGAAATTAAGCACTGATCACTTCTTGAACTTACGATCCTAAGACCTAAAACTGATAAATGTATGTTCTTTAGAGGTTGTTTGTTAGTAAGGAAGAGAACTTAATGTGCTGATTTTCTTGCAACTTCCAGTGCTTCGTTCATGACTAAAACTGTGCCTTGTGGGAATGAACTTCATAAATTTCTGATCTGGGATACAGCAGGGCAGGAGCGGGTAAGTACGATTCCAGTCACTTGATTTCGTATTTAATGTTTAAAGGTCTGTAATTCTTATCTGTGATCAAATCGGTTCAAATTACTGGGAGATAAGAATGCGTTGCTTTGTCCCCTTTGGAGGGCCTAACATTTGGAATATAAAAATACCCCACACAGCTATTCCTGTGGCGGTTCTGGATACTTTTGTGCCCTGGGCAGATTTGTTTAATTTTTTAAAGGTAGGAAGCTGAAATTTGGGGACTTCTAGTATAGGCATTTTGTGACAATGACGTAGAAGAATGAGCGAGTTGGACTGCCTATGTTTAAACTACAGTACAGAATGTGAACTGGGGGTTTCCAGTTGCCCATGTGGCAGGATACCTCCTTTCTAAGGTCTGTCTGGGGTCCGCTTTCTGGAGTCAGCTGGGCGGCAAGGAAGGTGGATGGGACTGCAGGTTCTGCATGCCTAACATACTGTCTAGCTCTGGGCTGTGTAATCTTCCAATGTGAGCAATCCTACTCTTTGATTACGCCTCCTCAACGTAAGTTGAAAGATACAACCTTTATCTGAGATTGTTTTAAGCTTATGTTGATTCTTAGGAAACAGAGGCAGCAGCACCTTTATTTAGGCATTTAGTATAAATTTGGGGTGTTAGATGCAATCTCTTTCACTCTTTAAAACAACTTTCATTCTTCAGGATTATGTTTATTTTTACTTTAAAACCCTTTTTCAGTGTGATTACTTATTTCATTTATACACCACCCAATAGCTGAAGCTCTCCAGGCAGTTAATAACAATGTTGTGGGTATTTGTGAGAATTGTATTGCTTGGAAGCATTATCAGAAGTGCAAATAATTGCAATAATAGTATAAAAATACTTTCAAAACCTATTTAGAGAGTTCTTTTTCTGAGATGTGATTGGCAAGTAACAAAAAATTAAGCACTCTTAAATAATTGATTGTCCCTTAAAGAGCAAATTTCCTGTTAAAAGCAGTGGCCAAACTCCTATTGATTAGTTGTGGCCTTCCCATGCCTAGCCTGGCCTTCCCATGTTGCCTGTGCCAGTTCTAGTTTAGCCATTAGAAAGTTAACTATTTTTTCCCGACAAACAGTGGAAGATAGTCTCCCTTCTCTTGCTGAAAGTCCTGCATTGTCAGAATTCTTTCTAATGTTTTCGTTGAACTTCCCTTTGTTGTCATTTGAGTCCTTAGGTTTAGATTCTATAAGGTGGACCAACAGAAAAGAAATTGGCTCCTGCATCAGTGTAACATTCATTAGAATATTCGAACATAGCTGTTAAATCACCTCTTAACTGTTTGTTCTCCAAGTTAAAGTTCTTTAACCTTTTCTCATAGAACATGACCTCTAACTACCTTAGATATACTTTATTGGAGATGTGCCACTTCACTAATATCCAGGTTAAACTGCAGTGCCCAGGACAGGTGATAGCACTCCAGGTGAAGTCTGCCAAATGTTGTGATATCATCACTTGTGATCGGAACACGGCGTTTCTGTTGATGCCATCTAAAATTGCATTAGCCCTTTTAGCCACCATGTCATTAAGGCTAATTCATGCTTAGTTAAACCCTCTAGACCCTTTTCGCATGAACTGCTACCTAGCCTGACATTTCAGATTCGCTACTTTTGAACAATTCATGACACCTTTTTTGACAGCTTGTTTTCCAAACATCTCTTTAGCTTGAGCCATCTTGTAAGACTAACAATAACAAGATATTATTCAGCTTGCTACTTTCTCCTGTCAAATGACTTAGAAACGTTTGAGATTTAGAGATGAGTACAGACTTAATGGTAACACCAGATATTTCAACGATGCAAATTTTCTTAATTTTTGATTGGGGAGGGCTGGGCAGTTCTTTTAATGAGGTTTAGTCACTAGATGGCATTGTACTTGTTTCAGGGTGGAGGTTCAAGTTTTCCTGTTGCTTTTAGAGAGACAGACTTGTGTAGCTTTCTGAATGGTGTGTCTTCAACGGTTTTCATGGCAGGTGCCCTGGGTGTAACACATTCTCAGGCATTTCTAGTATCTCTGTGTTGCTGCTTCTGATCATGGGGGAAATAATATACAGATTTCCTCATCTTAGAAAGCATGGAAAAAAGTGGAATGTTTTTATGCATTCTTCCATATGTGGTGCTCCTACTGCTGCTTTTTGGTAGGGAATGTAAATCTACGAAGACATGACCTAAAGTCATGTTTTTGAGAAGCACATGCCTTAATACAGTTTTCTTTATCTACAGAGTGCTGGGAATCATGGTTTTAATAATATGGTCATTATGAAGAAGTACTGTATATTCTAAAGTTCATATCAAAGGAAAGCTTCTAATGAGAAGTCACATGAAATCATATGCATACCCACTGGATTAAACTGAGATGCCTAAAATTCCAGAAAATTAACTCTGCTCCTTTTGTGAACTGAAGCATTTTCTTTAATCCCCAAAGTTGGAAGACATAATGATTGTTTGCTCAGATTGTTCAGACGTCATTGTTAGAAAAAGAAATTAAGTTTGCATTTCTGAAAATCTAGGAGCAAAGCTCCTCTAAATCTTTTTTACTCTTACCTCCCTGTACCCTTTCACGGAACTTTCCTTGTCTGTCTGAGCCCATGCTGTTGTGAAAATGTCTTTTAGTAGGCTCTAAAAAGTCTGACAATTAATCCTGTAAATCTGTAGTTTCGGTAAACTTGTAATTTAATCCCGTGTTTGCTAGATAGAAGAGCCAGGAGTTCAGGGAACAGTTGCCCTAAGAATTGTGATTGGAGCCAAGCTGGGAAAAGGAAGAAATTATTCTAGTGTATTCTAAATGTACCAGAAATAATAAAAATGCTTCACTGGGGTGGGGAGAAGAGTAGTGGGAAGAAACGAAGACCACAAAATAAGTTGCTTTATGGTTATAGAGTCACATGGTTTGGGGGGCATGGAGATTGGCTATGCAGAGATGAAGCATATTATTGAAATGCTTCAGATATTTCTGGAAATCTCATTAATTTATGTGGCATAATGATTAGCGTGTTGGACTGTGACTTGGGAGATTCAGGCTCTGGTCCCTGCTCAGCCATGAAGCTCCCTGGGTGCCTCTGGGCCAATCGCAGCCGCTGCCATTTCATAAGTCTGTTATGAGGATTAAATGGAAGAGACGGATTGTGTAAGTTGCCTCAAGTTCCTTTTGTTGTTGTTGCTAGTTGTGAAATCATGTCTGACCCATCACGACCCCAAGACAACGTTCCTCCAGGCCTTCCTGTCCTGCACCATCCCCTGGAGTCCACTTAAGCTCACACCGACTGCTTCAGTGACTCCATCCAGCCACCTCATCCTCTGCCGTCCCCTTCTTCTTTTGCCATCTATTGTTCCCAGCATTAGGCTCTTCTCCAGTGAATCCTTCCTTCTCATTAGGTGGCCAAAGTATTTCAGTTTCATCTTCAGGATCTGACCTTCTAAAGAGCAGTCAGGGTTGATCTCCTCTGGGACTGACTGGTTTGATTACCTTGCAGTCCAAGGGACTCGCAGGAGTCTCCTCCAGCACCACAGTTCAAAGGCCTCAATCCTTTGGCGCTCAGCCTTCCTTATGGTCCAGCTTTCACAGCCATACATTGCAACTGGGAAAACCATAGCCTTGACTATACGCACTTTTGTTGGCAGGGTGATGTCTCTGCTTTTTAGTATGCTGTCTAGATTTGCAATAGCTTTCCTCCCAAGGAGCAAACATCTTTTAATTTCTTGGCTGCAGTCCCCAAAAGGTGGGTTATAATTGTGATGTAATAATAATAAAGCACTTCATAGAAGTAGCATTTTGGTTATGGGGATGAAAGAAGAATACTCCTCCTGGGTGGGGCCTTGGAGGCCAGTTCCTTTTTTTGTGAGCCTTTTGTGTTACCCTGTTGTATGTGGGTGTAACCAACACAGGACTGTGTGGTTGTGTTTCTTTAACTGTACTGAAGGGTGGTTATAGATATCTTATTGATATTCATTGCATTATGTATTTATCGTACGAAGGTTTGTTTTGATTTTGCTTATAGTTAAATATTATATTGCTTGATTGTATCGCTCTAATGTATTTTGTATTTTTATGGAGTATGGTGTTCCTTTTTGTCCTATTGTAAGCTGCCCAGAGAGCCCTATGGCCTATGGAGTGGCATCCAAATGAAATGGAAGACTTTCCATACATTGGTTTCTTGAGCAAATATTTATAGTCACATGGCAAATTTGTAAACATGCTTAAAACAAGATAAAGGTCTGTTTCCCTTGCATTTGGCCTTTCATATCTATGCTATTCTGAGGTAATTGGCAGAGGACAAATCATTTCTTCGTCTATGGACTGAGTGCCGTGCACCTGTCCTTTCACATTTAACGCAGAATTAGCACAGTGTGGAATGTTTGTATGGCACAGAAATATGTCACAAAATTCAAGTTTTCATATTAATAAAAACTCTTCATTGTTCCAGTTCAGTAGATTAAAATAGTAAACAGATACACATGGTTTTACTGGCTATAGGTCAGTGTACTATGATCAAATAGTCACTAGACTATTAAAGAGGCTACTGTAATAACCATTTTATGATTCTGATTTTGTATTCATTTTTTCATAGTTTCATTCCTTGGCACCAATGTACTACCGTGGGTCAGCAGCAGCTGTTATAGTGTATGATATCACGAAACAGGTAAGCTATCCAATCAGAATTGTTCTATTACTGCAACACAGCTGTGTTAACCCTAGTAGGTAGTCCTATATATAAATTGATAGTTTTGCAAAAAAAAAAAAAAAAAAAAAAAAAAACCAGTTTCTTAAGTTACTAAGAAAGTATTTACTTTGTCATTTATTGTAAGCCATCCCGAGACATTCTGTAGGGGATGGGATAGAAAAGCTATGAATGAATGAAAATATAGGAACCTACACTGGCCACAATATTTGGTTTTTATCCTGATTCAGTGATTTGGAAAGCAGTCCAATTTAGCTTGAACCCCTTTGGAGGCTGCTTGATTTGATGCAAGTCTAAATCTCTTTTCAGGAAATCTGAAACTTTGACTTCCATTGATTATCTTTGGGAAATCTACAAGTGTATGGCAGCTTTGCATTTTGACAAAATTGAACAACATTTTTAATCTTAAACTCCCACTAATCTGCCAAATTTCAGGAAGGTTGATGCAGGGCAACCTTCCCCAACCTTGTGCCTTCCAGACATGTTTGGGCTACAACTCCCAGAATTCCCAATCAATGGCTCAGCTGGATGGGGATTCTGAGAGTGAAGGGTGAGGTAAAGTTGTATGGAGACAACTTTTTAGTTTGGGGATTTTCAGAAAAGGTTTAATTAATCCTTCTGGGTTTTCTGCATGGGGCAATTTGTATGAAAATGGCACATCATAGAGATTTCCCTTGGGAATAAACTTTTACAAATAATGAGATATGTTCATGGGGTTTTGTGCTAACCACCACTATATTAATTTGTGGGGGACTAAAAAGGGTTTTGCTTTTCCCTTCCTGGGGCATTTGGGACAATTTGTGTGCATACATTGTAGTCATGGCCCTGAGTAAATAACCTATAAAATTTCAGGAAGGTACCTTTAAGGCAGCTATAAAAAAAGAAAATCAGTTTTTGCATTTTTAGTTTTGATTTCAATTTACCACACCAAGATTTATTCTTAATGAAGTGTATGGATGATACTTTCATAAAAAAAAAAAAAAAAGTCTCTGACATCCTCTAGCCCATAAAGGTCATGGTGGGTGGTCGTTTGGCATCTGCCTGAAATCATCAGTTTTAAAATACAGTGGATTGCAATTTTCAGTAAATCATACTGAGGTCCATGCAGCCCAGTATTATTAAGTATACCTAACTCACTTCTATATTAAAGGTCTCACAGGTGTTCTGAAGTTCTTTGACCTTTAAAGATCAGCTGATACAGCAACACCAAATTCATTCAATGGTTGATTAAAAATCAACCATCTTTCTGAAATTCCAAAAGAGCCCCCTCTCCACCACAACAGGAAGTCCTTAGAATTTCAAGTTACCTGCATTGTTCCAATCCCTTATCTTGTGGTCCAGAATCTTTCCTAGAAGGAAATTGGCTAATCATGGTCAAATTCTATTTCACAAGTCAGTCTTACAGTGTGATTCCATGCAGTCTTACTCAGATGTAACCCCCAGTGAAATCAGCTCATTTTGCCTTTCTGTCTCAGCTCTATTCATGAGTCCTTCTTGTTCCCCATATTTTTTCTGGAACTTAAAAAACACAGTTGATCTTGTTTTTCAGCCCTAGAAATGTGTGCAAGGTCTTGGTTTTTTTCTGTGTCTGTCAGTCTTCTGCACTTGTGCAAGGACATTGTTACGGCTGTCAGAAATATATATGTATTTAGGCTTGCACGGTCAATGCCTTTGTCCATTTCAGCTGTCCAGTGCTAACAGTGTATGACAGCTGAGGAAGATAGTCAAAAAAACTTCCAAAGACATTACACATTTTCTTGGGGCTGGAGGAAAAAAGTGGCAAGCCAGCAGTGGCTGCTCCAAAATGCCACTTGGGCATCGGAGGAAGGGCCGTCACTGGCAATGGCAGGACAATATTGCCAAGAGTGGCAACAGGTTTTTGCAGCTCATGCTGAGTGCTTGTTAGCCAGTCCTGATGTCTTATAATGAAGCTGTTCTGTCAAGTTCAGTTTACAGGACAAACCACTGTGTGTCCAAGAATCCCTAAAACAAACCATGGGTTGTGAGTGTGGCTTATTCCCAAATAAGCCACCCTGTGGGAAGTGGATGACACGGCAGCCTCCCCCTCCAACAGGATGCCACATGTTAAAGCTGGTTTCCTGAAAAACACATGATGTCTGTCTTCCTAATTTCATCTTTTTGGCCTAACGGGATGCAACCATGTCATTTCCATACCTGTGTAAATATCTGGATAATAACTGCACTATTGTAATATTTACAGGCACCATAGTATAAATGCTTTATTTTCTAAAATGCATACATGTTTGCTAGGGTACTAATATATATTCTGACAGCTAAACCATTTTGGAACAATTTCACTTTTTCATTACTTCGTTTACTTTATTTAAAACTGGTTTTGGCTCTGTATTTATAGCTGAGATAAGATTATAATAAAATTTTGGTACTTGTCAAAGTATATGCTACGTAGGCTAAGGTATATGGCAGAATAGTCTCTGCTATTAATATCAAATGGAAAATTACAAATCTTCAAAGTCAAATGTATTTGGATTTTAATACAAAATCCATCTGAGAAAGCTGCATGATGGGATAGGCATTAATGAATGAATATAATTAGTTTCTTACATTTAACATCTTTAGCAAATTGAATTACATATTTACTTTTAGCATAGAAGTCTTGGCACAGTCAATTGGTGCATTAGCAAAATGATGTATCAGGGCAAACACTTTCCTGCATGCTGGCAGAGAAAGTGACTGAAAGGTTAGGAACTGTGGAAGAAAGACTGTCAGTGTCAAACCAATTTATGTTGCCTTGTACCACGAATGAGAGATTTAGGGGTATGGCAGCTATTTTCCATCCTTGGACCTCCCTGTGGGCACATTTTTTTTAAAGAATTTTTATTAAAATTTTAAACCAATACTAAAAACATCAATCACATACATCGGAACTACTGGGTCAGCCCCTTACTACATATCTTTTAACATTCTGTAATCATATTCAGATCCATTTATGATAACTTAAACATTTTTAGATCTAAACCAAGTCCCGTTTCTCCAGCCAATAAACCTGCAGGTGCATTGTTGTTGCTGCCATAGTTTGGCAGTGGCAAGAAAAGAAATCTTAAAAAGAAATTAAATTTTAAATCTCTTGCATAGGGTTGATCTGTGCTGTGCAGGTGCAAGAGCTGGAGTACTGAGGCTCACTTCTCAATAGACATGCTTGGAATTGAGCTGTGTTTTGTATACTTGGTGGGAAAATGTTCAAACTGGTATGAATTACACCAGTCTTTGGTCCCACCCCATGCCCTCATTCCAACCCACTCATGCAACATGACCCCCAAGACTTTTCCCAAATTGCAGTTTGGGTCCTGGCCTGAAAAAGATCACCACCACTGATTTAGATGAACATTTTGTAAATATGGATAGCTATCTTTACAGCTTTTCAGTCAGATATCTGGACCAGAGTATAAAAAGTTGTGGCTTTCAGGAGAATGCATTGCATTTAGCAAGGTCTTTACTATCTCATATGTTCACTTTAGGATTCATTTCATACATTGAAGAAATGGGTAAAAGAACTAAAAGAACATGGTCCTGAAAACATTGTAATGGCCATCGCTGGAAACAAATGTGATCTTTCCGATATTAGGTAAACCATCTACCTTTTTTCTTCAAATGGCATGATCTTCTCTGCTTTCTCCCATAGTATAGCAAAGGGACACCTGCATTGCTACAAGGTCATGCCAGGCTAATAAAACAACCTATCATGAATCTGACTCCTAGATAAAAGATAAGGATTAATGTCTTATTTGTTTGCTTCCAGATTCAAGAGGTAAGCCATGGTTTCTGTCCAATGCTGCTGCTAAAGTTCAACACCAAATGTTTAAAGTACAGCATTTGTTTGACTTTTTAATTATGGCTTGAATGCATAAAACGATCACTAGCAGAAGTTCTCTTCTGCTCGTAGAAAGTATTTCCAACAAAGGGGAGTGGACATGATAAAAAATTACCTCGGATCCAGAGCAGTTTTACAAAAGCTCTTCTCAGTAGCACTTCCCAGGCTGATGTTACAACCTGGTTGAAATATAACAGAATGAAAATAACAGAATTAAATTAATAGTGGTAAAGGTCAAGTTCTGCACTTAGGAAAAAGAAAACAAATGCATAGTTGCAGATGGATGATATTTGGCTCAACAATAATTACAAGCAAGGAGGATGTTGGAAATGTGGATCAGAAGCTGAGTGTGTCAATGTGATACAGTTGCAAAAAGGGCAAATGCTATTTTGGGTGCAAGTACTTGAAAGACTGTTGCACAGAAGAAGGCCAGGATCTCTTTGCAATCATCTTGGAGCATAAGACACAGAATAAAGGGCTCAAGTTCCAGGAAGCCAGATTTTGGTTGCACCTCAGGAAAGACTCACTGTTAGAGCAATACAACAATGAACCTATTACCTAGGGAGGATGTGAGTTCTCCCAAACTGGAGGCATTCAAGATGCAGCTGGATGCTTTAACTTGGAGTCCTGCATTGTTAAAAAAGGGGAAATTCTAATCGATGGCCTTATTGGTCCCTTCCAGCTCCACTTTTCCATAAATCTTCAACTAGCTTTCACAAGCACTAACTGAATAGCACTAATATATTTTCTACATGTCCCCTTTGGATCCAAGCAAGTGCTTTTAAGTGTTTTACAACATTTTTGGTCATAGTTTGCTTTCATGAAATAAGAGTATGCCCATGGCTCTGCTGTAGTCCAGAACCACTTCCTCTTGTTCTCTTTAGAATAAACTTTTTGACATTTTTGCTCTAGGAAATTGGAACTGCAAGTGTGCTATTAAGAACACAAGATGAGAGGAGTTGTGTTGGGTCAAGCCAAAGACTTACCTAATCCAACATTGTGTTCCTAGAGTGGCCAGGCGGATGCCGCAGTGGGAATGCCACAGGCAGGGCATGAGCGTGGCTACCTAGTCATCACAACTAGTAGACATTAAGAACCTTAACCTCCATAAATTTGTCAGACTGCTTTTTCAAACAGTTCAAACTACTAGTTATTGCTACATGCTATGAAAGCAGATTCTGTGGTTTAAGTGTGTGTGAAGAACTATTTCATTTTATTTGTCCTGATTATCCCATAACTCAGCTTTATTGGATGAACCCATATTCTAATATCATGAGATTCCATTTTCTTCACACCATATATACTTTGATATAATTCTATAATTTCTTTATTTACTCACCATTTTTATAAGCTAATGAGATTTTGCTAATGTTTTAGAACAGCAGGAGCCACTTCAAGCTGTTTTAAAGTTGGATATAACTTTGCCTACTTCTTCTTATGCAGTAAATTGGCTTATTAATTCTTTTCTGTTTTTACTTTTTCTCCTCTAGACAAAAGGTCATTAGATATGGATTTCTGGCATTATGGGCCAGTTTTTCCCCCATAGTCAAAAGCTGTATTCACTTTTAATACTTCAGTTGCTTCATTGTCTGACAAAAGTGTTCTGAACCTTAAACTTTAGTAGTTTTGGAACTCAATGAATTCCTATCACTAATTTGGTGCAGAGACTATTTAAAGAAGAAAGGATGCAATCCCATGCATATTCAGAAAAATGTCTTACAACTCCCAGCATTTGGCAAATGTGCATCTTTTTCTGTCTAAAAACACATAGGATGGTGTTCTAAAAGAAATAATACAGCAATATAAAATCAAAATCAAGTTTCATACCAGTAACTCATTTCTGAGAATTTTTTTTCAAATTCCTATATTAATTCCTACCCGAATAACACAAATGATATAACAGCATTTTGCTCTTTTTTGAACTATGGACAACTCTGAAATTAAATATCATTAGTGTCCATCTATGGTATTTTACCATGTTCCTTACTTTGAAATTTATCTTGAAATTAGCACAGATTGAAATAGTTATATTGACCTGACAAGGCTTAATTTCAGCCCTCTGAAGTCTATCCAACATTACACTATCATGCCAGAAGAGGAAAAAGAAACGTGTTTTCAGTGATAATGGAAGTGTGACTCTCCTATGCACTGGGTAGAACTGATTTAGCAAACAATGTTCTTTTTACCAAGACTTGTGGTCCATGGAGATCTCGCTGCATGCATACAACAGATCTTGGGCCCACAAGGTGCAGACAGTGCACTTCTGGTTACAGGAAAAGACAGTTCCAGATTTTCTAAAAACTGATCCAGACTGAGTTTAGTGACACTTATTTCCAGGTAATTAGATGATGGCTTATACTGATTGCAGACTATACTGACACATTTGTACCCTTAATTAAATCAGCTAGAACAAGCTATTGCATCTTGTAAAATAACATATGTAGACAGCTACATACGAAATATACCCAGTGTGTGAAGTGGCAAATGGAAAGGGTCTCTCTAGCAACAGAATAAGTGTTAGTAAAGCAGTCCAGTGTTTGATTCTTTCCAGATGCTTCTTTTGATTGACTTGGATGTATTCCTTTAATGTTCTCAACCCACATTTACTTGAATAAATAATTGTAGGCTAGTTACAAACTGCAATCCAATGGTAGAGATGGAGTCGTAAAATCTGTTAAAATACTGTTTTTATTTTCTTTTGTTTTGGTGAGATGACTTGGCTTAGTGCCACACATGCAAGTACAAGTACTACTTTATGAAGTATACTGGCGCAGTAAAGTCTATCATGTACATACATTAATGTTTCATTTTGCTTAGCAGTGGAGCGTAATTTTCTTTTTGCATCTATAACTGAGACATCTGCAGAATTAACTTATTGAAGTGATCTTTGGAGGTCTTTGGGAATGCTCCCCATAAGTCCTTATGTGGATAATTTATATCTTTATGCACTTCAAGGATTCTCTTACTCGTGGTATATGGTAAAAATGGTGAGGTTTTCGGAAAGGCTTGTATTGTAATCTATGGAATATTCTGGTAGAAGCTTTCCACTGAGAATGGAAGAGTTGATTTTCATAGTTTTTCTCCCCCCCATGCTGCTCCCCATGCCTACGGTATTGGGGGGATTCTCTAGGACATTGTGGGAGGTAGCGCAGCAGGAGAGAAAACCATCACAAAATCACTTTACACCTCTTCTCTTCTGCTAAGATGATTATGAGTGGAATACTTTTCATAGGATGCTGCTGCCAGTGGAATTAAGTGCTGGATTCAGTAGTGTTCTTGATGAATTCAAATTAATTCGAACTTTTAAAAGGCAGCCCTTCAGAATGATGTATATCCTGAGGCTCTCAGGATCATATGTTCAATGACTGGCAAAATAGCCTTTTCTCCAGGTTTTAATTAGCCTGATTTGGAAACAAAGTATTAATAAACTATTAACTAATTACTTTTAATAGATCTTTGGAACACATATCAAAGAATTATTCTGATACATACTGTGCTCGGATTCTTTGCCTTGAGCCTCAAGGCAAAGAATTCGAGCACAGTATGGATTCTTACAGTATGGATTCCTACTGTTCTTTTTGGGCAGTGTTTGATGGGTCTACAGTCCTTTCTGAGAGGTGGATGAAGTGTCCCAGGCAAGCTGTGCCAGTTTCTGTAGATGCTGCCTACTAGTTTCTGTGACATTTCTGTCTGAAGCAAACCATTTTTCCCGGATTAAAGAAAGCCGCCTTGTTTTAAACTATTATGTTTCTGTTGAAAGTACAATTTAATTATTTTCTCTTCTGCCAAAGCTCTCTGGGCAGTTCTCAACAGCACATTAAAAATAAAATACACCATATCTAAACATATTGGACTCCAAATTAAACCATCTCTCTTGGAAGGCTGTCCATTTTCTGCATACTAAATCCACCAATCTATGACTTTCTACATAAGTTTAAAAGTTCACCACATTTCCTTTTACATGGGGTTCACTTATAATTTTTGATTACCAAACTAAATTTTAAAATCTGCATAAGTAGCCTATTCTCCCATACCAGTGTAAGATAGACAGAAGCACTGTGCTTCTCATTTTACTGATCTGAGGCTGCAGCAATGACTAGGGAAGAGATTATGTAACAAAATACTGGAACTAAAACTGTAGGGAAACCTCCATGTTTTGGAATAAACAACTGGTTGCACAATCTGACATTGGGTCAGAATAAAATATGTGGATATGTTCATATGTCTGCTCTGAGTTCTTAAACTGTAGTCCTTCTAGGAGGTTGTAGTTTCCTTGGCAGAATCCCCCTTGGCAGAAGTTGAACAACACTGAGAGCAACTTACGTTACAATGTATTTGAACTAAGATATGCTCCATGACTGGAAAATGTAGGTACTCTGTGATATGCAAAATGCATGTGAAAACTATTAACATCATGGTTACACATAGTAAAAGCATACATTACAGTGAAATTAGATTCACCTTGAAAAACTGCAGTGAGAGGATAGCCCTTGGTTTTTTCAAACTATGAAAGTCGTTCTGCAAAAGTATGAAATTCCCTTTTGAGGCAGAATATTTTATTTCCATGCTCAAAATAAAACATTTGTAAAGATACTTTGTTATCCAGACTTGCCATAAGGCTATAATAGTGTTTAATAAAAGTTTTTAAACTGTTTTCTGAGTAACTATGGGATAAATATACAATGCTTCTTTGGCTTTTCTGTAAGTAACGTTGTCCTGCCTAACCTACTTAGAAGTCAAACGTATGAGCTGGTGCTGCAGCAAGGAGTTAAGACACTATTCCGGGCTCTGTGTTGTGTTGTCACACATAATCAGAGCATTCAGTAAGCTATTTTCTGATTAATGTTTAGCATTCTTTAGAGTATTCCAACTGAACTCCATAGTGTAACATCCTTCTTCTGATATGGATTTGGGGAATACAAGGTTGTAACTGTGTGCTTAAATCTTTTGGAAACATGGAATTATTCTGCAATACCACACCCAGTGCTATTCTGGTTGTGGGGAGGAACAGTGGGACCAGAGTAATGACTTCCAAGTACTGTGGTTTTGCATGCAAAACAATTTAACTTCTAAAACTTCATTTCAGGGAGGTACCTATAAAAGATGCCAAAGAATACGGAGAGTCCATAGGTGCAATTGTTGTTGAGACTAGTGCCAAAAATGCAATTAACATTGAAGAACTCTTTCAAGGAATCAGTAAGTAAATTCAGAATGTGTGTTCATGTACGTGTAACTCAATCGTTTGGTATTTTTGGCAAGCCTTTGCTATATTAATGCATCCTTCAATGCCTTTTATGTGAAAGATAAAAGAGTTAAGTCTCAAAGCTGAATTTGTTTCAGAGAGGATAGTCAAGAGTTAAAGGCTAGACATAATATCACACAGTCATTAATATTATAAAAATACATATACCAGCTGTGTAACATCTAAACGGTTTTGCACTGTATCTGATTAAAAATACATCTGCAGTTCTGGGAAGTATATAATGTAGCCTTATATTTCCTTAGAATCATAGAATTGAAGAGGACCTAATGGCCAGTTAGTCCAATCTCTATATCCTTGGCAGGATCCATTGGATTCTCAGTGGTATATGTAATCTGTATTCCCTTTAAGCCTTCATAGAGATGTTCTTGAAACTTCTCTGTCCATTCTGTTATGTTATCAGCCAGGACTTACTGTGTGGGATTTGCAGTTGCTGCCATTTTACATCTAACTGTGCCACCTCTAACTAAATAAATCCACCAATATTAATATTATTTTTAGTCTGCTACTGCTGAGATAATTCAATATGTGTGAGCTGTCTTATGGCTGTAATCCTTAATGACACTGATATAGAAACCAAAAATAGCTGCCTACATTTTTCTTGGACAAAAATATGTGCTACTTATTATATTTGATAGTTTTATATTTATATTTGATATTGAAACTTGATTTTTTTCTATATTTTTCACTTTCTTTATCCTGGGACATTGACTAGCCTGTGAAAGATGGGCCTAGCCAAGGCTATCTACCCAGTGAAAGTTGTGCTTAGTCAGGATTTGGGACTGGATTTCTAATCTGTCCTAGTATCTGCTCTGATAACAGCAACATGCTGGCTGTTATGTAGTAACTGATATTTATCCTAATTTACAATAAACATAGAAACAGAGTCAGAAGGGGTCTACTGGGCCATCTAGTCTGACCCCTGGCTCCACTCATGACAATTCCTACTATTAGAATAATCATGGTAATCCGTCTTGCAAAGGCTGACTTGGGATGCTAGGAACTGCAGACTCTGATCCCCCATTGTAGTGGGCTGTCAGACAAGAGCACAGCCTTCCCTAAGCATGTAAGGAGTACGCTGGGTGTTGTAGTCCAACACTTATGGAGGGGACCAGATTCATGTAACTACATCTTTTCTACTTTTTGCTTCATGGAAATTGCATAATAAACATTAGCAATAAATAAAACAAATGTATTTCTTTTAATAAGATTGTAAAATAACTTTTAAAAATCTGGAGGGTAAGGCTGGGATACAATATATGCTGTTGTAGCCTTATCTTGGAGCTCAATTCCCACTCGCTGATATTAAGAAGGAAGACAAAAATGCAATCCTGTATTGTTCCATTACTTTGCACCAATTTTGTGTGTAAGCTCATCTTCTAAGATGCATACTGTGGCGCGGCTGAGCACTTCACACCAGGTCACAGGGGAAGGCATGGAGCTGCTGAGCTTTATCACTTCCCTGCCACAGTAGACTATGGCCTTAGCACTGTTGTCTGAGCCCTGTGTACGAGTAGCTGCTCGCTCTCATTAAACTGTCAGGTGTTGCACCTGTGTTGCATTCTGATTTCCAAATCATCAATGTGGCTTCTCATCTGAAAGTATGGGTAGATGATGAGGGAATCCTCAAAAGCACAGTAGAGACATTTTCTGCTATTAAAATAAAAGTTAAATGCTTGATCTTCAACACTGTTGCCCTCTAGACAGCTTATACTGACAATAACTTGAAAAAAAGTAGGGTTAGTTTTGGGTGAGTGGGGCACATGGGATAAAGCTCATTCTGCATATGGCTTAGGACAGAGCAGGTCAAGCCATTTCTATAATTAAGGAACAGCTGACTTGAATAATAAAATACAAATTAATACAGGCTTCCTATCTGTTACATGCACTCTGTGATTCATTAAATTTGGCCTGATTACAGGAAGTATTCTGACTAAAGAGTGCACTGCTGTTGCATTCCCAAGGCTTAAATAAATTCTTTCCATCAGCTACCTAGCTACACCCTGGGAAGACACATTTCCTCAGCGACTTAGTTTTATAGAATTTCACGGTAGACATTTTGACATTGTTTTAAATATAGTTCCTTGGGGAAGGTAGACTTTATGTGGATTTTCTCTTAAAAGCATTTTTATAAAGAGCAGCAGCTTTCCATTTGCATAATCAGATGTCTTTCATTAAGAATCTTTTCTTCAGTTTATGGGAAAATCACCCAGAGGTTCATGGCAATATGCTGCATGTTTGCACTTCCATGACAAACAAAGGATGACAGATATGAGGAAGTGGTCTCTGTAAACAATATATAAAAAAGCGAAGTTGCAAAGCAGTCTCTGAAAATTTGTTCTGAGCACCATTTTGCTCTCAAAGCTCTATGTTTTATAAGTATATGTTAAGTCATATCAGAAGAAGAACCATGATTCAATCCAGCACGGGGATAGTATAGCTAATTTTATATGTGATTTTAATGCAATATAATGCTATTGGTTGGTGCAGTTCTGCAAAATACAGAAGTGAACTTAGTCACCCAATTGACTGTTTTCATAATAAATTATATTCATACATCATGAATCCAGATTCATATCCTGTTGGCAGTGTGGAATATGATCCATTACAGTCTATTTTGAAATTAATTTCTTTGGATAAGCATGTGTCATTCTGTTTGTAGGGAATAAAAATGCCTACCTACTCCAGAAAGGCAGCTAAACTAGAACTAGACAAGAATGACAGCATTTCATAGGTTCATAGCATGCTGACACAGGAATGCAAACGGAGTAAAACAAGTTTCCCAAACCTTTCTCATTACACTGTAGGCCTCAAACTATCCTGTGTCACCAACATACTTAACTGAAACCAACCAGGTAGACCACAAAATAGGATCCAAAGTCAACAAACCTGTGCAGGATAATGAATGGTGAATTGGATTAAATTATGGAATTCAGGGGTATGTGGGCTGCTGCTAATGGAGACTTTTTTTCATTAGCAAAAGCTCGGTTGGTGGTTTAGTATCAAGAATAGTATTTTTTGTAAAACTGTGTAACTTTTATCCTCAGGTATTCTATTCTGTGTATTCTACTGAAGCTATGGTTCATTTGTGAACACACGTCATAATAGTGCATAGGGATATAAACTTGGAATTTAATTCATATGCAGAGTCTAAGCATGCCAGAAATAACCCCGGTTGGGAAGGGATCTAGAAGTGCAACAGGGAAACTCTTTCCATATAAGCAGCCAATGTAGAAGATTGGTGAAATGGTTCTTTCACGAGTTTGGTTAAGGTGAGAGGGAAGAACCCTGCTTTGGATCAGGATTGCGTTGAGGTGTGGGGCTATCCTATATACACAGAAGCCCTGGTAGTTTTGTTTCGCTCTCCCTGGGAGTTTTGTGATTTCCCTAATTATGCTCACACTGTGTGGCTTCCTGCGTCATCTGAACCCAGCAAGGTGTTCTGTTCGGGTGGTTTTGAGACTTGCTGGAGTCAGAGGACACGGGAAGCCATGCACCACAAGGTATCAGGGAAATCATGAGACACATAATTGGAATGCAGGAGGTGAGACATATGCTTTCTTTTTTTCCAGCATTTATGAACGCAGCTACTGCTTTTCTGAATGAAATCCTCTGCCAAGCTGCTATTTCTCCCATAGGACATCCTGTTCACAGATGTGTTGTGTGCAATCAACATGGCAGGCTTTGAACAACTGTATTTTGCTTTTAAAATCTTGTAGGTCGACAAATTCCACCCTTGGAAACTCATGAAAATGGTAACAATGGAACCATCAAACTTGGAAAGCAAACTGCACAGATGACCAGGCGATGCTGTTAAACCAACCTGAGCTGGTTTGATTTACTTGAAAATAAAATTACATCATTTGTTTATTTATTGAGCTACAGACTTTAGAAAGTCAGTGACAGAGCATCTTGTCTAAAAGCAATAACATCAGTGCTGTCAGTGAAAACGGTGGGATAAAGATCTCCTGCAACTTGGTTTGCAGAATTAAATGGACAATTCACTGTAGCTGCAAACCCTTTGAAATATTGACTCAGATTAGTGGAATTATCTGTTTAAAGTAAACCAATGGCTATTTTAAATAGGCACTTTGTCAAGAAATGTTACATTTTATACAAATATCCTTTATTCTTCTGTTTGCAATACAAAAGTTTTATGTTCCAATTTGACCTTTATAGAATTACAGTATATAATATTTTAACTAAATTAATATGTCCTTTTTTATCTGTTTACTTATCAGATTTAGTTTCTGTATCTTTGTTTTTAGAAGAGTAATCTTTTCTATTTAAAAAGGTATAAATCTGGTAGTTATCATTGGATCCAAAATAAATAAAAATCTAGTAATTTTAACAATTAAATTTTAGTGATTTTTAGCTTTCACTTTTTACCATTTTGGAAAGCAAAATCACTAGATTGCCTATGCATCCAGTTTAAATATTGTTAGAAGAGAGAACACTGAATGCTTCAAATGTTTCAATTTAAAATTGAATTATCACAATGGATAACTGTGAATGGATAATTGAATAGATTATGAAATTAACAGTAACAGATAAACAGAAATTGCACCAGAAGCCAAACGGAAACAGGATGAATGATCTTCTGTTGAATTCATTTAAAGTCCCTCTGGCAGGTATGTAATTCTGTCAGAATCTGTCAGTGGTTCTGTGTTTCCCTGCTTTACAGTTTAATACAATGTTTAAGTCAAGGAATTGTATCTAATTCCTAGTTCTATTTACATCGGAAAGGAAGATAAAAAATAATCTAGCTGCCTCTGTTCCTATCTGTCCCTTTCATAATGAAATTGAAAAGTAGCTTTTAAAGAGTTCATCTTTTGAGATTATGGGTTGGATCCAGAGATGGATGAAAAAACTCTCCTTGTGCAATAGGGCTTCCCTTGTTCTCCTCCAACCCTCTACATCCTACTGCAACCTCCTGTGTCCTCCAAAACCACTCCTGAGAGTAAAAGATCTTCAGGAGTGATGCATGGAGGCCACAGGGCTGGACTAGAACAGAATCAGAACTCGGTGAGCTTCTCTGGATCCAAGGCATTGTACATTTGATGCCAGTGATCTTCCTGATAACAAGCAGATGGAAGTTGTCAGTGACTCATATGGAATCTATAATTGCCACTGGATTCCAGCCATATGCCAGGGTGACAAGAACAGCAGCTCAGTAGGGGGAGTGTGTGTGTAATGTGTTGCCAAATGATCTACTGACATAAACAGTGCTATTTTTAAGAGCAAAGGATTTTAACAGCATCTATGCATGACTTTATTGATGAGAATGATGGGCAATATGGCTAGGAACCAAGGTATTGGCTGATATTGCAACTCTACCCTCAAAAACCCAAGTATACAAATGCACTGCTTTGACGCTTAAAAAACAGATAGTGGTTGACTGTCCTTAACATTAACATTTGTAATACTCTTCCAGTTTCCCTTAGAATGGCTGAGGGCTGAATTAACTACTATCTAAGCAGTTAATTGATAGAGATAAATGCAGTTAGCTTGCAAATATTATAGAATTAGGGAAGATCTTAAGCCTAGTTTCATGCCCTTAGATTTTGTAGATAATGCTTATGGACAATACTGATCAGTTGTTTAGAATCAGAGTTGGATGTTGTCTCAAAGGTCACCTATTCCAGCCACCTCTGTGGGCCATTGTTACCAATATTGTTAAATAATACAAAGTTGCATGTTCAAATTTAAATTTACTTGACATTGTGATGGGGAAACAACATGCTTATGTATAGGAGGAGGAGGAAGCTGTCAATGTTACTTTCCATAGGAAGGCCATTGCATTGCATGCTATACTGCTCCAGAGCCCTACTTAGGTTGTGCTTTGAAGCTCCTAAAGAAAGGAAGACATTGAAAGCTCACACTGTACAAGTATAAGCAACCAGACAAGTATTCCTTTTATTTCTGTATGTCAACGCTTGGGTTTTTACTTCTCTGAATAGGTTTATGTAGCATATGACCTTTGGTTAAAGCCAGTCCCTTTTGGGAGCTCAAACTATCAAATTACAACACCATCACCTTCTGTCTTAACTGAGTATTGATAGTGAGAAGCCAGAGCTAGCCTTTTGTGTGTGTGGAGCTGTGTTAGAACTCATTCTGTACCATGTTAACTAGATTCCACCGAGCCTGAATTGGCCCTTTACATGAAACCACAGATCATGGCAAAGCCCACCAACAGTACAGTGCTGATACCAAATCTTAGAAATAAAATGACTTCACAGTGCAGTAATATGTTGTGTGATTTTTGTGCAAGCAGTGCAATTCTTTACATGCTTATTCTGAAGTAAATTCCTTTACTCAACTGGGTGTAAGATAAATATGTGTAGGAGTACAGCATTAAGGTGCGATCCTGTGCAAGTTTAGACCAAAAAAGGGATATCTTGCAGGATGCCCAAACCAACTGTGTTGGTTGTGGCATGCTGGGAGTTGCAGGGGGTTTTTTTCTGTTTAAACTTGCATAGGATTATGCCCTTAATTAACTTTTTGTTAAATATTCTATACTGTCCTAGCAGTGTAAGGCAAATTATGTCTTCCAGTTTATTGGATTATGAAGAACCAAAGCAAAATATTCTACAAAAATAAATCCAAATCTCAGTCTAAATAATTTTAACTAAGGTATATTTACCTATATTCCTTTGGTGCATTATATAGAAGTTTAGGTTTCTTTTAAAGATGATGATGAGATGGCAGAGTATCACTGCTAAAGAAAGTGCATATGGTCCCAAATGAATTAAATTATCTGTGCCTTAGTGTGCCTTTGTGCTTGACATTTCTCTTTTGAAAATCACCTATATGGTAGGGGAAAAGACTGAGTTGGATCCAGATTTAGTAATATTTAGGTAGACCCATTTTTCAGTGGAACTTAAGCCAGTCGTGACTAACAAGTCCTATTGATTTAAAAGGTCTGCTCTAAACATGATCAAATCTTGATCCAAACCATTGCTTACTTATGCCAACTTAATTTTTTATAAAGCTAAAGAAAATGTTTTATTTGGCAGTGCTCACTTCACCATTATTACATTATGCTCTGTGTTTACAGCAGAATCCAGAAGAAAACAATTCTGAAACCATTTATTTCAGAGCACACTTAGAGAAGCTTAAATCAGAGGTATACTTTAAATAATAGGACTGAGATGTTGTTGCATGGTCAAGTATTAGCTTAAACATTTGGAGAAAGGTATTTGAATGCTTCTGCCTCACTGCTAGTCTCACAAATATCTTTTCAGTGAACGGTTCTCACATTAGAATCTCAGGCATATTTGGGTAAACATGAGCTTCAGGCTACTGTGCTGACTACAGTAAGGTGGACAAAGAAAGAAAAATATTTCTCTCTGCATATATTTCACATATCAGTAGAACAGAAAACTGGGCAGTGGGTGAACTTGTGAGAATGGAGACATTTGACAACATTTCCTTAGACTGAGAGACAGCATACATTGTTGGCATAACCTGGCTCAGCAGGCTTGTTAAGGTTTGAACATTTGAATCAAATGGTGAATTGCCATTTTACTATGAGAGAAGGACAATTACAAATAAGAAGAAAGTACATCATTGCACTACAGAGTGGTACAGGGAAGTGATTTCTGCCTGCCTGCCTGCTCTTAATACTACTATTAGTTCTGAAAAATTGATCTTCTGTGGGCTGGCTCTCACACAAGGGCAACAATTCAAACAATTTTAGAGTGCAGGCCTTAGGCTCATGTAGGGGAAACTCTTGTGAGAAGGGCTGCCTTTGTGTAGCTAATGCTATCTTCACCCATAGCTGTGATGGCATCTGAGGTAGCATCTCCTTACAAGCCTAGTGATAGCCCTGAGAATTTTCAAGACACTTGTGTGGTGATCAGTGGTGTCATGTTGACTATAGATACCTAAGAACGTATGCATGTTTATGAATGCATCTCTGCACTGCTACCTGTGTTCAAGAACCATTAAAATAAAAAAAATCTATATCTCCACAACAGAAGGTGGAACTATAGCCAGTGTGCCCAATTTGATTTTTTTCTGTTCTGAGGCAATAGCTTCCTTTCAAGTATATTCAAAATAGCAGCTATTTCCCAGTAATAGAATTACAGTACTATTGCTAGAAGGAAGTATGCTATTAGTGGAACTTAGATTCTCCCCCATCTAAAATTGGCTATAACTGTTGTTAAAATTACTTATCGATAACCTTTCATCATAAAAGATTGTGGCTTTCTAGAAAACAAGGTACTATCTAAAGGGTAATAACAAATAAAGTAACATTACAATTTACAAAATAAAGTCAGCACAAAATATTTAGGTGGTACTAAAAGTAAGTGTCTAGGAATACTTGCTTGAATAGGTACATTTTTACTGACTGACAGCATACCTGCAGCATAGTTGCCCACTGGATCTCTAAGGGGAGGTCATTTTGCAATATGGGGGCTGCCAGAGAGGGGAACCTCCTTTGTGTTGTCATAAGACATATATCTCCCCTGAATGTCCCCTGATTTGGAGGCCTCTTGCAATGGCGATCATTTTCAATTTAGCTGGAACTCCTACTTTTAGGTTGCATGGTGACTACCAGGCCCAGATCTGGGGGAAGTGAAGAAGGGTACTCACCCTCGCATCAGGTTATTTACGCACAGCAGATGTAAAGAAATAAATTGCATGCTGGAAGAGTGACTGTCCCTTTCACCACATCCCCCAGATCTGAGCTTGGTGAGAGGGACAGAGAAACCCACCAGGGACAGAGCTGAGGTTGGGTGGGACACTGCATTTCTTCCCATGTCTGCATGTTGAACTTGGGGCTTTGGACTGATAGTCCATCTTCAGCTGTCTATGCCTCCAAGTAGATAGAAATTCTCTCCATGACTAATATGAGGAGAAATGTT